TGTGTGTGTGTGTGTGTGAGACACCTAACCCCAGCTGCTCCCGACGAGCTGGATGTGCCTTGCATGACTGACACCGCTATGAGTGGGTGAATGTGAGGCAAATGTAAAGCGCTTTGGTGGCCATTGGGTCTGTGAAAGCGCTATATAAATGCACTCCATTTACCATTTTCCTCTGCGGTCGCCCTACAGGTTGGAAGCGGAATTGTCCATTACCGCTGTCGTAAATAATTTAGCCTAGCGCAGCCTACTGTCGCACGCGCGCTCGTTTATCCAGCACCGCCTTTGGAATGAACAATGTCCACAGACAAGGTAGAGTATGTTGCAGGATTTCATGAAAGTATGATGTATTGCGACATCAGAAACGGAGAAAAACAAAATAATGACTATTGTAACGCTTGACGTAAGCAAGTCAAACTCGACCCGATCTGGAAATCTTACACAGCGTGGTTATAGCAGATACAGGACCACAAAGCGGAGGCATAAGTGCCTTTCACCCTGTTACGACTTAATGAACCACTGAAACGATCTTGGAAACATTATTTTAAGGTAAAAAATCTTACTTAGTGTTGCTTTAAGGGAATGAAGCCTTATGAATTAATGCAACAGATCAGTGGTATTGGTCACACTTTACAATTACTAACATTTGCAAACATTAGTTAATGCAACACAAATTAAAACACAAACATTTATTTTGTGTATAATGTTAGTCAAAATATAACTGTTGTTTGTTCACGCTAATTCACTGTGTATAAACTAATGTTAACAAATATGATTTTTGATTTTAAAAATGTATTAGTAAATGTTGAAATTAACATTGACTAAGATTAATAAATGCTGGAGAAGTTAGTTCATGTTAGCTAATGAATCCCAAGGGCCGGATTTACTAACAGCGCAAACCCTCTTTAGGCGTTAAAAAACTACTGTCAGGATTTACTAAAGACACGCGGTGGAAAATTAGCGCTGAAAAGGCGAGGACAGGGTTATTTCTGCATCTGATATTATTACATATGCATTTGTAGGAGTTTCCCCTTCAGACGCAAAATTTATGGGAGAAGAGTATTTACAGTTTTTTACAATCACTTTGTTATTATTTTTAGAACCTTGATGTCATTTTTCACAACTCTAGACACAAAACTCACAACCAATGATCAAAATGCACATTTTTCAAAACTCTAACCCTTTCCTCAATTGCTTGGATACAATACACATAAAACTTAGATCATTTGTTCATTTAACAAAAATCCCCTGTTCAATATGACACAACTTAACATCAAAGTACTACTATTTCAAAAGGCAATTCACACATTACATTTCAAATGAGTGTCTATTCATTTCAGTACAATGATCTAACTATCAAGTGATACAACTGCTCAAAATGATAAGTAACTGTTGCATTACTCTTAGTAATGCATAGCTGTATGGAAACAGACAAATCATGAAAGTTTCAAGATAACGAGATTCATTGTCACTAATTTGCGTGGAGCATGAACCAATTAGACTACAATATCCATGGATGACGCCTGCAATGCCATCGCAGCAGACCAGTGTCAGGCCTGGATTCGCCATGCCGAAGGTGTTTTCCAAGATGTTTGGCTAATGAAACCATCCATTGTGATGTAGATGAGAACCTGTGGCCAAATCCACAGCACAGAGTTGATTACAATGTAGAAATACAGTAATCACTCCTGTTTTGTTTCTTACATTACAACCAAGCAAGTTGAAGAGCACTGCATTTGATGTTTTACAGTAGTGTCTTTTCTTTTCTATTTCATAGCTAATTATTTTTTGCTTTGATTCAAATAAACCTATGTTGTGATTGTACTGTAGTGTTTTGCATCAATATATTACAAACTTTGTTCAATGATTCCACTGTGTCTGTAGTATTCTCTCTACTACTACTGTACTTTTACAGAGATGTATTTACTGTACATGTAGTACCATAATGAAACCTGTATCACCTATTTTGTTCTACAATATTTAATGATTGTACGAACAATGACACAGTGAAACTATCGGTTGCTTGTGTGTGGGTGATCTATAGTTATGTTTCAATGGTATTTCACAGTAAATTTGTTTTTTGAACCAATGATTGTGCAAGTGCAAGATTTCTTTAAAGATGTGAATGCACAATGCAATGTTTTGAACATTAGACAGCCTGTGTTACAAGTGATAACCGTTTTGATTTTTGTGTCTAGAGTTGTGAAAAATGACATGAAGGTTCTGAAAATAGTAGCAAAGTGATTGTAAAAAACTGTAAATGAATCACGCAAGGTCATTTACTAAGGTTTGCACTTGTCAATGTACTGGTGTTTGCGCCATTATTACCGCCCCAAAAAAAGCATGTCTTCAACCAGACCCTAACTGGTAGATTGCGTTGGTCATTATGGAAATGATCTGACTGCTTGTGTTCTTTAATTTGCACATCGTCAGTAGACCACGTGTAGAACTATTCACTCCCATTGGCGCTGTTTTGGAATTGCGCTCTCACGCTAATTCCTTG